GTGCTATTCCATGATGGGTTCAGTTCTGCTACTGATATTCTTTGAGGAAACTTTACCATTAAATATTCTGAGACATAGCACCAGGGGGTAGTTTCAGTTTCATGTGCTATTCCATGATGGGTTCAGTTCTGCTACTGATATACTTTGAGGATACTTTACCATTAAATATTCTGAGAAATAGCATCAGGGAAACATACAATACTTGAATTTTCATGTGCTATTCTATGATGGGTTCAGTTCTGCTACTGATATTCTTTGAGGAAACTTTACCATTTAATATTCTGAGAAATAGCACTAGTGCAGTTTACTTTCATGGTTTTTTATCCTATGATAGTGCCTTTCAATGATGGGTTCAGTTCTGCTACTGACATATTTTGAGGAAACTTTACCAATAAACTTTCTGAGGAAAGAGCACTGTAGCCTTGTAGCAGTAGAAATCAATCACTGTTGGTATGTTTTTAATCATCTAATTCGTCTGTTTTCTCTTGTTTCAGCATAAACTCCCTGGACATCATCTTCATTTTCATTTCATGTGCGCCATTGTCATTCCATTGAAACCTGGCCACCTCCTCATGAGAGCCCAGCAAAGAAGTCTTAATTTTAGACTACAGTGACATAATAATGCTATGTGTACAAGTGGAATACCTCTAATTTTTTTTTGCTTTGTGAACAGTTTTTTTATTAAGTTTTAGTGTGTGTATATGTAGGTACACCTATATTCCATCTTGCCACATGGCATGTTAAATGTACAATGAAAACAAGTAAGATTCTTTTTAATAAATTACTTATTATGGTATTTATTGTATTTTTCCTATGGCAAGTGGCCTGACGACCTGCAAAAGCAGTCACCTAGGTGTAAGGTTTTCTATAATGTGCAATTAATTGTGCTGTTATGTGTTGATCTCTCACACAACGGCTTTGAGCCAGTCAGTAATACAAATTGTAATCAGTGTCAGAAGTCTATGTTATTATGCTATTATGATCTGCATGGTCGGATAGTATTTATTATACGTAGGAATTTTAAAAATAAAATTTCTACTCAACATCCAATTTGACTCGACTTCTTGTCCTTGTTCCACCCGTAAAGGCTAGATGATATGAAACCGATATCATCGGCGTGGGAACACTATCCTTAACAAAACTCGTGACTTTATCCTAAACACTCAATCGTTGACATTTCGCAAAGCGAAATTTCATTTTACACTATCAGTGTCCTAATGGTCAAGTGGCCTCTCATTAAAAATCTGCATTATACAACGAAATACACGAAGACCATACATTTGTTGCGTGGGTCGATACGTAATCCATATTGGCTACTGCAAATTGCAAAAAATTGCCTTTCAAAATGAGAGCGCGTCAGCTCTGCAGACATGTCTGCCAGTGCCACACCACTAAAGCTTGGTTACCACCATTCAAAAGAATAATGAATGATGTAAGAGCATATACGACATCAAACATCTAAAAGTTTACAAAACAAAACGAAAAAATAAACTCTCGATTTAATTGAAAATCTTAAAAACAACACATGAATACGTCCACGATGTTTTTGCTGTGGAAACTTCTCGAGTGTAGCCCCGGCATTTCGGAACGCAGCCGCCATCTTCTGCGCACCTCGCCTGCGCAAAACACATGGGAGACACACCAGTGTGCTCGCGGACCCGCTGGTTTAGAGTGCACCCACCACTTCAGTTCGTTTGCGTAGGCCTAACAAACGTAGGGAATTTGTGAATCATTGTAATCTGTAGATAATAGTTGTAAGCCCCCTTCGCAACGCCTGCACATAGGATAACCCTTTCCACTACACGAAGGTAAGCGGCCGAGAAGTACTTTGCCCAGGAAAAAGGGACGCTTGGGGGTTTGGGCCGCGGAGGACCCTCGTACCTACGCGCTGCGCTCAGACTGGCGTTGGTGTCGTCCGCCGCTGTTTAGGCTTCGCAGGGCGCCGCCCTTTTAGTGTGGTACTTCAATTTTACTCATCGGGGAAATTGCCGGTCCATTTAATTGAAGAATCATACGTTTTGGCGAGCCGCGAATCAATAGGTTGCGAGCAGTTGCCCGCCAAGTTGACGGGCCAAGTCCCATCCCGCCATGCTGCTCATTGTTCGTTTATAGTGGGGCTGTACCCCTTTTCGTGTCGAATCAGACTTTAGTGAAGGTGCAAGTTAGATTGGTGAGCCGGCCGACCTCCTGGTTTTCTGTGGTGTTCGTGTAGGGCGAGTATAGCGCTTACGCCGGATCCCCACTGACGGGCGTTTGCCGGTCGTCGCCTCGCCTGCTCTCATGCACTGTGCGAGGCCGCCTGGCCAGGCCTTGGCCCTGCTCTTGTTACACCTCGCGCTCAGCCAGGCCCAACAGGCTACACTCTCGACCCCTTTCACCCGTCGGATCGATCGACTTCTGTGCAAACCTCGTTTTGTGGACTCATTCCCTGTGAAGGCCGTGACGTCGTCTGCTGTAGTAGTTTCTTATGTTAGCACATGAATGGGGCTGAGTCAGGTTGGGAGGGTTCTGATCTCTTGATTTGGATTTCTGTCGGTACCTTTACCCCTTTCTTTGTCTATTGCAGAGACAACTACTGGTTCTCTTCACGCCCCCAGGCTCAATCTCTCTTTAGCCTCTCTTACGTCCCTTCGCAACAAACCAGGAAATGGTCATGGAAGCCCCACCTACCCCACAGTGCGTGGGACGGGAGTTTGTTCGTCAGTACTACACTCTGCTGAACAAAGCCCCAGCACATCTCCACAGGTAATTCATTGTTACTGTTGTAGCTGAATGTTCATTCATTGAAATGTAAGGGCTAACTTATGCAATTTATTCACAGATTTTACAACAACAACAGTTCATTCGTTCATGGTGGACTTGACCCTCCAAACCGAGAATCAAAACCCATGGTTGGACAGCGTCAGATTCACCAGATGATTCAGCGCCTGAACTTCAGGGACTGCCATGCAAAGATCAGCCAGGTTGACTCCCAGGCCACTCTTGGTGATGGTGTTGTTGTTCAGGTAGAGTTAGTCTCAATTAAAGTCCCTTACAACCCAATTCGAAGTTCTGTTCTGTGTGCTCTTCACATATTTCTCTTTTCTAGGTTACTGGTGAACTATCCAACGGAGGCCAGCCCATGCGTCGATTCACACAAACCTTCGTATTGGCTGCCCAGTCTCCCAAGAAGTACTACGTTCACAATGACATTTTCCGCTACCAAGACATGCTTGTCAGTGATGAAGACTTGGACCATGATTCTGGACGATCTGAAGCAGAGGAGGATGCTGAATCGGGAGACTTGTCTCAGCCTCAACAGCAGCCTCCCTCACAGCCTTACTACCAGCAGGTACCTCAACAGGTACTAACAAGTGTTTTGCAGGGCTTACTGAAATTTTTGAGGTTCATATAATTTAACTTAATTGGTTCTTGCAGATAATTGGTGGTCAGCCTCCACTCATGCAACCAGCTGTAAATGGAATGGTCCATTTAGATGAGCTTGCATCTCTGCAGCCGGTTGCTCCTCAGGCCATCTCTCAGCCTCCACCTCAACCTGCTGTCCAGCCAGCTACAGTTGCTGCTACTCCTGCCCCTGTCCTTGGCGCCCCACCTGCTCAAGCACCTCAGGCTCCCATTGAAGAAACTGTCAATGTTCCTGAAGAGACTCCAGAAGAGCCTGAAGAGCATGTTGAGCCTCACCCAGAAGAACAAGAGGAGGAACCTGAGGGACAGTCTACTGTTCAGGATGAAAAGGTTGAAGTCACTTTGAACGAATCATTTGAAGAACAAACAAGTGAGACTGGTGAGTAAAATTAGAAATCTATTAGTTTTCAATTTTATCATAGTTGTATGTGTGCTTATATTACCTCGTGTTACAGTTCCCAAGACCTATGCCACTCTCCTGAAGGCAGGCGCCTCCTTCTCTGCAATTTCTGCAAAGACGTCCCCAACATCTCCTGTAATTATACATTGTTCAGACTAAAAGTGTCTCTATTCTATATGATGTAGTGTTTCCAAGTAGACATTTTATTTTTCAGCCTCCTGCTACACGCACAGAACAGGGCCCTGTAAGTACTGGACCCCCTGTGTCTCAACGCCCTGGAAACACACGACCGATCCGTGGTGCAACTAACGTCAGAGGCATGGGGCGCCCTTCTTTAGACAGACAGGGTGGCCGTCCTCCTTTCAGTGATGATGGTTGGTATTTCAGAGGAGAGCTGTTGTATAACATATGTATAGATTACGTTCATTGTGTTGTTCACTGAGGTAGTCTTTTTTCCCTCTTACAGATGGTGAGCGCAGAAGGTCTGGTCCTAGTAATTCCATTTCAACATATCCCGACTCCAACCAGCTATTTTTGGGCAACCTTCCACACCATGCTACTGAGGAGGAATTGAAGGTGGGTAGTCGATCACAAGGGAACTTTTTAAATTGTTCTTGTGTATTAATGTTCCACATTTAGTTTAAAATTAACTTTATCTGCATTTCTCTAACAAATTATCTTGTCTTTTAGAAATTGTTTGCCCAATTCGGACCTGTGGCTGACCTCAGAATTCACAGCAAGAACAACAACCTTAAAGGAAGTGGGCCTCCTGGAAACAAGGTGCCGAACTATGGTTTCATTACCTTTGAAGACCCATCAGCAGTCAAATTGGTCCTTGAAAAGAGGGTAAGTAGACCCCTGGAGGAAGAAGATATGAGAAAAGATCACACCAGATAATTTAAATCGTCTTCATTTTTCCTTGTAGCCAATCATGTTCGACCAACACCAAAAACTGAATGTGGAGGAGAAGAAGCCCCGCAGTCGCAACGACACTGGTCCCCGGTCGGGCCCCGGCGGCGATGGCATGGTGGGCCGACCCAACAACCCCATGGGCAACTCGCAGCGCGGGGGTCAGCTGGGCTCGGCTCCCCGCGGCGGTGGCGCGCTGCGCGGGCGCGGCGGTGGCAACTTGGGCCGCGGTGAGGGAGGCCCGGGTGGTCAGGGTGGCGGCCGCGGCGGCAACATGAACGGCAACAACCGTGGCGGCTATGGTGCTCGTCGTCAGTAAACCCAACAGGCATTGTGCGGACGAAATTTCTACTAATTTCAAACAATCATTCTTTTTTTTTTTAATTTTGCGTACTGATACGAGCAGACTCGTTGGCGCCGAGTGTAACCAAGACTGCATCGATGAGAGTTTGCACAAGTGTTAGTAACTCTAGTCGTTATGGGGACATCATGAGCATTTAGACCTGCTCAGTTTTGGAGGGTCCTCTATTGAAACTCCCAAGTTACTGAAATTGGACATATTCTCTCCTGAGCTGAGACATCTTTTAATTATTGAAAGAAATTGTAGCTGATCTATTTTTAAGTGATGGATTCATTTCATTTGAAGTAAGATATTATTTTTAATGTGTCTTCAACCTTTTTTTCTTGCTTTGGTGATTATAACTAGCTAGCAATTTATTGGCATTGGCACCAACTCATGCCTTAGTGATACCATCACACTTGCATGATTCTAATACACAATAATGGTAACTATTTCATTTTGTTGCCTGTTGCTGCCTCTTGATTGACCTAAAGTGCTTGTTTTCAATTACGGTCTTGAGAGCAGCATTACCTGTTAGACTGATAGTGGTACAAAAAGAAAAGGCTCAGACCTTTACTGGCTTCATTAACTCCTGGTGATGCCTATTGCTGTTATGTCAGATTTGTGGAAATAATGTACTTAGTGAGTGCCAAAGGTATTAAAGGTTTGCGTGGCTGGCCTAGTCTGAGTTCCTGTTTGGAGGTTTCGTCCAGGAGGAGAATTCTAGGGCTGCTTGGAGCAGTTGGCAGCCACGGGTCTCAAAAAGCAAAAGAAAAAGTAATAACTATACTCGATTATACTGTTGTGCCATCCATTAATACATGTGCACTTAAAATTTGGGACTGCAATGGTATTTTTTTATTGGTATTCTCAACATTGAGAAGCCAACAGAATGTTGGATCTTGGCACAGTATTGGTTACCATGGAATGCGTTTCTATAAAATTGTATCTCTGCCTTAACAAATAGTGTTAGGCAAAACATTTTGATCTGGTCTTGGACCAAACCCTGGTCGTTATCTGTTGCAACCAATTCTCACATTCCATCATAATGTTGCCGAAAATTAGTAACAAAGTTACAAATTTATTTATTGTGAACAAGAAAAAATACTGTTTCAGTTCCATAACGAACTGAATGGTTGATAGGGAAGGCTATGTGGACCACCCTATGGGCAAAATGCCCCTGTCTCTAATGCATTGTACTACCCTGTTGGCATTCTTTGGTGCTTTTTAAAAAAATCTAACCTGTCTATCTTCCCTCCTTTCCCTGTAATCTGTAAAGCGGGCCTCTTATGTGTTTTATAAGGTATTTTTGTATGTATGAATGAGATGCTGTCTGTGACTTAGGCGATGGAGTGGCAACAGGGTAGTGGGGGCAGACTCTTTATGATCTATTGACGACTTCTATGACTGCACCAGTAGTATGATAAGAATTTTGTTGCTAAGTTATTGTTTTAATTTAAAACAGCTGTTGTAGATGAAGTCACCATTAGACCATGAATGGAGCCTAATAAAGGTGAAATTGTAAAGCAGTAGTGGAGGGGACCTGTATGAGTATTGGTGCTGAACTACTGGATCTGTGGTTGTCTGGGGTTAATTTCCTTTTTGTTATGCACTCTAAAATATATTTATGAAGGCTGTTCAGCATTATTTCATGCTTTTTTATGAAAATGAAATGCTAATTGTTTTGTTTTAAAGGTCTAACACTCAATTCACCAGTGGGTCTTGCGTAATGGAAATTTTATATTTCAATCTGTTTTTATTTTTTCTTTACCAATCAAGTATCAATGTCTAGTTGGTATATCTTTATTTCCTGTAACTAACATAATCACTTTTGGCCTATCAGTTTAAAAAATGATTTAAAATGATCTTGAAATACTTGATAGATTGGTGTTTTCTCGGTTATGTAAAGGGAATCGGATATCTCTTAACTGATGGAGTTCTCTTTCTTTACTTTGTCATTTAAGTTTGAAGTGTTTCTTAGGGTCAATAATTCCATATCAGTTGAGTGTTCTATTGAACATATATTCTGTTAAGAGTTGTGTACAAGTGCAGCTCCCTCTGAGCTATTCTCTATTGTCATCTTTTCAAAATTTAGTTTATTTCCTTTTCTTTCTTACTGTAGATCTAGCCGAAGTGAGCTGCACCACGAATGGTTTTTAACTCCTCAGTTCTTCAGTGTCCTACCTAATACTGCTATTGCCTCAGGTATATAATTTGATGCCTTTCCCAGTCTATCATGTTATTGTAGTTGACTTTTTTTTTAATTTCCCTGTGATAATTAGATGAAAGAAATAAAAAATGTTTCCCTTTTTGTAAATCACTCTCTCTTTTTTCCTAAAACTCCCATCTACCTAATTGAGTGAAAATGCCATATTGCATTTGGAAATTAAAACCGCTGGTGGAGAATCGACTTGAGCTTGAATACTTTCACAATAGAGTAGTAGCCACATCGACCGGGTACTGGGCGTACCGAGGCTTTGAGATGCGTTCGAGATGAACATTTCTTCTGCCTTTATTGCTGGATGGAGGTGAACGCCCCCTCCCCCCTCGGCATCGCATTACGGCCCGAGCCAACACAAGCTACGCAACTGCTGCGGTTTTCACGCGATTTCATTTGGAAGGACAGTTTTAAGCTCCTCGGTGCTAAAAGTCCAGGACTCTTGGGGAAGCGCACGGCTTCCGCTAGCTGGGAGTTGGCTTCAACTTCGACAAGGGTTGTAACGACCTAGTAGGTGCCCCTATCTTCACCGCGCTTTTCAGCCAGTCGGTGTGCTGTTCTTTCGTCAGACGGACCATATGTTAATTGCTATAACGAGTGAAGGAGATTTGGCGACAAGTCCCAAAATGGGGGCAAGTGGCAGGGACGCGCTGGCGGCGAGGCCTCCGTGAGGGTGGTAGGATTTTGGGGGGAGGG